CACCCATATACAGGTAGTCCTCACTTAATGACCAGTAGAAATCACTTGCTTTTTTTCTCCTCCCCACCCCTCGCAGAGAGATTGGAGAGAAAGAGATTTCAGAGAGTACTGTAAGCTGTTTGAATAGTATGTCCGCAGCTCCCAGCCCTGGGCTGTCAGTATGATTGCATTGCTTTCAATGTGTAAAAGAGCAAAGAGCTTATTCTCTTGCAATCCTTTCCTGTCCAATCTCTGCTCTTCAAGGGGAACAAAAAAGAAAAAAAACACAGGTCAGGCACAGGACAATGTATACTGACTGTAATGGTAATCATGTGACTGAGGGATGTTGTGAAGGTCGTAAATGGACATAAATGGACTGTAAAGTTATTTTTCAGCACCGCTGTAACTTCAAACAGTCACTGAACAAGTGGTTAGTAAGCGAGGACTACCTGTTGTTGCAACTGAAGTATATTAATTTTATCAAATAAATAGGCTGCTTCAATCATAGTCACTAGGAGGCTTATAAAATGTAAAAAATTAAAATAACAGTAATAACTTATTAAAAAAATTATAAAGTACTCTGTTGGGAAAATAACAAAAACAATTTTATTAACAAATAATAAAAAGACACATATATTTTATATGTCTATATAGCAGAATCACAAGTCACCATGCTCCAGGGACTGCAAAAGCAGCCAGTCTCTAAGGGTTTGTGCAAGTGCAGCACTGACAGACTTTAGAGGGAACCCTCTTTCAAAGAGGAGGCTCAGCCATAGAGAAGGTCTGTCTCTGAGTCCTATGAGATGACATGTCTTTACTGAACATATCTGGAGCAAGCCAACCTTGTCAGAACTTACTGGATGGGCAGCAACAACTGAAAAGTGTCAACCCAATATGAATCCAGGCCCTAAATCAGAAAGGGTTTCATAAGTGACAAATTCCATCTTGAATTGTATCCAGAAACCAGAACAGCTTGGAAAGCAGTGGTATTACATGGGAAAAACAGGATATACTCATTGGTATTACTGTCACTACATTCTGGACCAGCTATAACTTCTGAGTGATTTTCAAGGGTAGCCCCACATAAAGTACATTCAATAGTCCATGTAGAATCCATGCAGAGTACACTGCAAAAGATATATTTAAACTAAGGACTAAGACAAATTGCTCCTAACATTTCTTTTTCAACAATATAATGGCTTATCTTGATATGAGAAACAAAACTTGCTTTGAAAATAGTACATTATTTGTTTTGAACTGAGATAAGTAAGAGTGACCAAATGTTCAAGATAAAGTCTGTACTTGCAAAGCAGGTTGATTTATTTATAATCTAAAATTGTGTTTATTCTGCCCAACAAAATGTTTTTTTGCAAAAGAACTGTCAATGGAAATAAATACATTACACTTATTAATAAAAGCTAAACAAAATTATTTGAAATCATACTTACAAGCTTTGCTTGCTGGGCATTTACAGGATCGCCATATTGTAACAATGCTTGAAATTGGTTATTTTTTGTGAAAGTAATTATTTTCAAGACTGCACCAAATTTAGAGAATATCTGTTGGGGTGGGAAAAGGTAAATGAATACTCAACTAAATATACACATACAACATACCATGCTTTATTAAAAGGCCTACATCAACTTATCTGGTAGAGTTTCAAAACAGATAGTAGAAGCAAAACTGTACTGTAGTAGCAGAAGAAAGGGCTGGGCTGAGTTCCCTGACTGCCCCTATACTGGGCACAAAGTGGGGTGAGACATCATCCCTTCATTTCTACAGGGCCTGCCACCTACCCTTTGGCTCTTCCTTCCTGTTATAGCACAAATTATATGTAGTACTTCCACTGCCACCATCTATCTTGGATAGGATGGGAAAGCCCTGATTCGCTTCTTCCCCCTTAATACTGGCTTGTGAGAGAAATAGGACATGTCACAGCTTGCTTGCCCAGTAAGCTGGGAATCATCATCATCATCTCAGTACAGTCTTCTCCTGGCCCTTGTAGCATGTGAGCGGGGCTGGGGAGGCTCTCTCCTTTTTTAGGAGATGGAACACAAGCACAAAATATAACTTCAAAATAATTTTATTAAAAATAAGAAAAAGTAAAACCTCCTTTAGCTTGAGTCAAATGCCCCAAACAACTGTAAATATATAAAATAGGGGACTGGGTCTATGACTTAAACACTAATTAGGATCAATGACTTAAACATCAATCTGTCCAGGAATATGAGATGGGGAGATTGGACACTGATCCATGGTAGACAGGACCTGAGGTTCAAAGAGCTTAATACAAAAATACAAGAACTTTTTTTGCTTTGTACAAGTGTAATAAACTTCAGATACAGATATTACTAGAGCCAATTCCAGCAATCATCATGCAATCACAATCCCCAGAAATAAAGCACAAAAATCCTGATAGTGCATTCTTACTGATATCTATGCCTGGATACCTGGATAAAGTTTCTCACAGATTTCTAACATTTAATTAGAAGCTTAGAAACAATTCAACCTTCCCCCTTTTTTTCCCCTGGAGGTTTCTGGGTCCTGATCCAGAGGTCCCCGCCTTGCCTTTGTTCCCCAGAGAAGCCAGCTTAGCTCATTATACCATGAATTCATCCAGTTTAACTTCCACACAGACCTGAAGAACTGTCCTCCATTTTTCAGAACTGTGGTTTGTGCTTACTTCTTTAGAGGCTTTTGGGTCCCAGTCTACAGCTCCCTTCTTTGTTCTTATTATCAGTGACCCAGACAGTTTACCTCTCCATAAACCTGAAAAACTGTCTTCCACTTTTCCGATATATGCCTTTCTCTGTTAATCCCCTGGAGACCAAGTTTCATGGAGGTCTATTAGTTTCCATTTTATCTTACTCCAATCATTCTCTGATTTCTCTTTTCCAGTTATATCTTCCAGCTATCTCCCTTTCTTGCAACTCTCTTCCTTTCTGCCTCAAGACCAAGGATTTTTTTGAGACCTGAAGAGTGAGACCTGGGGAAACTCCTTTTGAGTTTGTCTGGATAAGCTTCACTTTTCTCCATTCCTTCTTGAGGGTAGGATTACAAAAGAGCTAATTTTTTATTCTCTCTAGCTAAAAGGGAGGGCCTCTGGGTCATCTTGCTTATATATTATTAGGCATTCTTTACTCAGAAAGCAAATGTGTTGATTCCTTAAGTGAGATTTATGTATTGGGTATGTCAAACTGAGTGAGAGGGAAAAGCCAGTTTGTTTTGCCTGCATGTTACAGTTTCTTGAGTGAATAGCAGCTTATCAATCACTCTAAGTGCACCAGACTAATTGTGAGGGTCCTTTTTGTACAGCAGCAAAGAAGCATTCTACAATGGGTTTTCTCCCTTTCACTTACTCCAGAGGCAAAGCTAGAAGATTTTCACACTGTTTCCTGTGGGAGGAAATAGCACCATTCCAAGTGTTGGAATGACAAGACAGAAAGAGAATTCAAAGTGAGCATACTTGAGAAAAGAAGGAATAAAGGATAGGTACATATAAAACTATGTACAAGTGGCTCCTGAAATTAATGGAGCCCCCAACACTTTTTGGGGGGAGAAGGTGGATAGCCAGTGCCTGGGTGGACTGGATGCCCTATCTCCTCTATAGAAAAAGGACCTACATGTTAAGTCTAATGTTCCAATTTCCTACAGTGAACCTAGGGCAATCTATAGTGGGACATACCAGAGCTGTACTTTAGCATGGGAACTTGACCTGAGGCCTTCTAGTCTTTGCAAACAATTTTTTTCTGCAGCATCTCCTGTTGGAAGAAGCTTTGACCAAGACACAATATTTATGCTTATAGTGTCTTTCTAAGGAAGACTGCATGTATGGAAGCCTTACATGTTTCTTGAGGGGCATTAGTATCAAATATGCATCAGGCAGTTGAGTTTCTAATGGAGTAGTGCCATGATACCCTGTGGGACAGGCTTATTCTGAGTCCAACTGCTTTTATCCATGTCTTGATCCACCTGGAGATCATGGCTGATGAGGTTCTGCAACCATGGCTGACTGTCAAAGGCTACTAGGACACTGTCAGAGACTCTGAACTCCTCTGTACTTCTTAAGTAGATCACGTTTGTTCATTGGATATTTAGTTTGTGCCAGTCCTTCTTTAATTGAATCTTGGGTCTGGTCAGAAGGAAGGAAGAACTTTCCACTTTCCATGTTAGATATTCTATGGTTACTTTGCACTGGGCTTAATCAGAGTTCACTCTAGGACTTGAAGAGCTGGGTGACCCATGATAGATACTTGTGAATAGCTTTCTTAAGAATGAAACCCTAGACATTTATTGATGTGAGCATGGGTCAAGAGAGATGTACTGCTCTCCAGTGACAGGACTGAGGAGACAGGTTATGACAGGCTAACATCTTTCTGTGGAGGCTTCTTGGTTGTAAGCTATTGTTAAGGCCCACCTGCAAGAAGGCTAGGACTTAAGGAATAGAGGCTGATGTCAGTGAGGTTTCCTTCCTTTTAGCCCATCTGCAAAAAGCTTATCACATGAGTTCATACATGCAAGTGGTAGAATTAAGGATATTAAGATGGTTTTGCTATCTTAGGCTGAGACTGGTAAGATGGCTATACTCAATGTGTATGCATGAGGTTACAAACAGCTAGGGTATGATGATACTCCCCAGAGTGAATCATCCATGATTCAGGACATCTGGTGTAATGGTATATGGGAATGACCCTGGGAGACAGGGGAAAGAGCCACAGCCAGGGGAATGGTCAGATAAGGGGCAGCTTAGCTCACAGAAGGAATGTGGGCATGGCAAACATCTCAGAAAGGATCCTTCCTAGTTTCTTGGGCTTTAAAGGCGACAGGGGAGAAATGTACTTTCAGACTTGCAAGAACCTGTTAACGTAACCATACAATAAAATAGAATTAGTTCACATGGATGTGCTTTATGTCTGGACTACCTCGCAAGGCTGACATCTGGTGACATCGCTCAGAGTTGGAATGTGGACAGGTTCACTAACTCCAAATACTATGGCTACCATGGCTATGAGTATTAGTTTTGCTTTCCAGTCTCTCATTAATCTCACAAGCCTGGGAATTAGCAGAAACAATTGGAATGTGCACAGTAGGTATTTGGGCTAGATACGTTGAAGACAATTGTTGCCTCTGCCCCAAGTCATATAGTATGAGACTGCTTCACCTTGCATTTAGTGGGAATTGCTAGAGTCCTCCAATGACCTTCCAAAGAACAAGATGATTTGTTACAACACAATGGGATTGAGACTCCATGACTTCATATCCAACTCAGTCCACCATCATACATCTTTCACTCATTGTAGGCATTAGTCTGTCTCCATTAGCTGCCTTAATCTGCTGTCTCCCTTTCTCCTGATGGAGATTTTTGATAGTTGTGTTGTCTGTTAAGAAGATGATGTTCTGGCTTCTGTGTAGGGTGTGGAACTTTAGAGCTACTGATGCTGATGTGATTCATTTGGGACTCTTCTGATTATCTATGTCTCTTGTGGTCCCTGGCTCTGCTATGGGTACAGTAGGAAGTACAGGGAAGGGGAGGTATCAACTGCCTTTGCATTTTTTCTTGGCTGGGACACACTTTTTGTACTTAATCTTAGTAAGCCCATCATCTAGGCCCTCTATGAACAGTTTGTTATCTTTAATAACAAAGATCAATATAAGGACCGATTTTGATTTAGAGTAGATCTTCCCATTTTTTTTTGCCACAGCTTTCCCCTAATGTCTGTTTGCTGCCATGCCGCTGGCTGAGAAAGGAATACTATCCAGGCTAGTATCCACCTTAAAGGCAGAAGATTTGGCTAGTTTGTTCATATGCTCTCACTCCTGATGTTACAAGGAAGGCTGTATTCCTGTGTGCTCTACAATGTAGGATCTACATACTGCTATCCTCTGCGTTGTTGGAGTAGAGTCTCATCTTTACTCATACCATCTGAAAGCTGCCACATGAACATCCATTGGAGAAATCTTGAGGAGATCTAGGGCTGCCTGTGAGAAGAACCTAAGCATGAAGATCAGGAAAGTGCGCCCATGCCCCTGGAACCTCTCACTCTGCCTCAGGGCTTTCTTAAAAATGTCAGAGAGTTAGCAAATCCAAAAGTGCACAGTGTGAGTAAATAGTTTTGGTTCCTTTATCTCTAGTGTTTTCCTTACCCTGGTTAATTGTGGAAAGTCCACCTCCTGAAAAAGCCTGGTAGATTAGGGGCTTCTGTCTCATGTAGTGACAACTCTCCATCTTCTATCTCCAACTAGACCTGAAGGGAAGTATCTAAATTGTAGTCCCATGGATGGAAGATCAGCTAACTCTCCCACCATGGGTGGCACAGATCTTTTTCTACACATCTCTTCATCTCTCTAAGAGAGATCTAGGGAGAAAGCACCCAAGAAAAAGGAGGAGGGGATGGAGAGAGGTTCTGCCTTCCCCCTTATGGCTTCCCTCTGGGGGCCACCCAGATGGGGATTCTCAAGGAGGTATTTCTTGTATTTCTCCTCCATCCAAGGGAGGAGAGAGTTTAATCTTCCTGGCTGTAGCCCAGTTCGAGAACCTCTGGCTGCAACTGTGGGCCTCCAGCATGCAGAATGGTACAAGGACTTCAGGAGGAGAAATAATATAGCAAAGCCAATTGAGCCATTCAAGTGTAGCTGTTCTTTCTGTGCATCAGGTGTCTGTCACAGCTGGGTTCCTTCCCCTCCAATGCCAGGACTGTCTGACACCCCAGAGGTAACAAGCCCTCTGGAAGGCATGAGAGTGACTCACTTGTGGCTAGTGAGTTGAAGCATTGATCTTGTATGGAATAGAGTGAGGAAATGAGAGTATATGTAGTAACACCACTGGAGGCCTGTATTCTTGCTCAGCCCAAGCCATTCAGAACAGTTATCCATAATACCTATAAACAGCAAGCTGCTATCTTTGAGTTTAGTGGCGATGGGATCTAACCATTAGGCAAACAAATCCTTCACCTGTATGGCTAGAAAAGCTGCCACATATCTGTCTACAGCAATGCAAGGCCAGAACTAGGAATGGGACAATTGATTCTCGCAGAAAGTACTGTCAGAATCTTTCAGCCTGACTCTAGGGTGAACAAGAGTTATTCCACTGTAGAATGCCATTTTCCTGCTGTAGGGAAAAAGATTTTTCTTCTGGCACTTTAATGATTAAAAAAAGTACTGTGGCATAATGTTTCATATTACATTCTACTACATCTGAAGTAATGCTATTCTCTTTGGAATAAAGTATAAAATATACAGAATAACAGTACTGACTTATCCTACACAGTAATGATACTGAACATTCTCAAGATTTCAATAAATGCAAGTACTATATTCATTTCATTTATTATTTTTACATTAATACTTAGGTTAACATAAACTAAATTCAGTTTAAATCACTGTATATACTCATAGAATTCTATCCCTAAACAGATTTAAATTAGGTTATTCTGATCAAAGTCTACTTAGATGAGCAATAAAGTCAATTGGTTTTGGCATTATTAAGAGATTAGTAACAACCTACTACACACTCAGCTCTATTTGTACCATAACGCACATTTAAATATATGCTGCACGTATAGAAATACAGCACAATTCAGCATCTAGAATGGATTGGGTAACTTTTTAAGTATTGGAGGCCAAAAATAAGAACTTCCATTCTTATTCTTAATTTTGAAGAGAAAATGATAAAAAAAAATCAGTTGCCATATATTTATTTATTCAATTTGTATGGCTGCCCATCTTACCAAGTGACTCTGGATGGTGAACAAAATTTAAAAAATAAAAACAATTACAATAATACAAAAATTAATATACATAGCAGCTGAGAATAAATCACACATGGTAATTGTTAGATTAACAAATTTTGCCACCAAATTTTCAAAATTCTCTGGACTCTGAAGTTAAACAGTTAAACAGAGTTTGATCTCATTGATACTTAGATGGGAGACCTATACAGCAACTGACAAGATGGGAAAATTAAAAACAATAATGTAGTGTTACAAGGAAGCTGAATGGATATTTCTAGGAAGTCATCAAGAATTGATCTCAATTTGAGTATTTTTTTCTTTTTGGGGTCCTATGGGCCAGAAGCGGTCCACAGATTTTTATCATGCTGTAAAGAAGTAGTTTTATAGGCATACTGTATCACAGTAGAAAGATTCAAGACAAGGGAAAACATTCATAACACTTCATCACCTGGTTCAATTCTAACTAGTTTCAAAATTGCTCCACATTTAATATGAGGTTAAAAGAAGCACAGTGCTTTGAAAAATATAATAGTGATATAGCATACCTGGTAAGACAAAAAGAATGAACCACTTATCATACTTAGAATTATTCATGATTAACTTAAGCTCTATTTATTTCAATAGGCTAATTCTAAGTATTTAATCATAATTGAGTTCTGATCCAATCCAACTATCCAATTTTAACAGTACATGAGAGCTTTGTAACTGTAATATTCCTTCATCAATTACTTCAAGTCATTGAAATCAATTAATAATTTAGGTTTCCCCATTGGGGGTAGAGGGAAGAGAAGACATTTTATTTGGCATTAATCTCTTTCTTTCTGTTTATTTATAAGGATGGAAATCTCCTCTTTCCCTTTATAACTACTTTGTATTCATTCCCTCTTCTACAGTCTCTGTATAAAATGCAAGATATCAGATATATACTCCATACCATCTTCTCACTCTGGGCCAAATTTAATGGGAAACGTCTGCTGAAAAACAGTATCAGTATCTCTAGTTTCTTCAAAATCAATGGTTTACAATTATTTATCTTGTGTTATAAAGCACAATGTTTCACACTTCCCTGACAGTGAAGATGGGAAAACATAGTAAGAGGACATCACAATATATAGTAAATTCTACCTGATGAACTAAACATTAAGAGGCATAGCTATATTTTTTCTGCATTCACCATCATATTGGTTTGGCTCTCTGTTTAAAAAGAGAATGAAAATTACTCATAAAGGCAACTTACTTGGTGAAGAACATCAAGGGTTACTGGGTAGTACATGTTGTCAATAATTATTCTAAGGACTGGACTCTGAGCTGGAGTTACTGCACTCTCACTAACTGTAGTTCCACTTATGGGAGTATTTGTTGTCTGTACAGCAGTTACTGCCTGTAGAACTGCTTGAGCTCGCTACATACAAAGAAAAAGAAAAAAATTAATGCATGTGAATTAAGTTTAGAGATCAGTATATTCAGTAGCTGCCTCAAACCACCTTTAAAAATGAATTAATCACAGTGACAACTCTTAACTGACCATTTCTAACCAAAGAAGTATCAGCACTCACATTAGCTGAAGAGAAGCTAAAAATGAAATATGCACTAAATTTGGTTTCTCAACAATAGGGTGAAACTATACTGAAGAGTTAGCTACTAGTAAGTAGTAAAAATCTAGGACGTATTGTAGATTTACAAGCATGTACATCTGATGTTTTTATCTCTTCCCATGAGCATGAGACCCACTGTTATTCAGCCTACTCAGTGAAGAAATTGGAAGGAAACATGCAAAGCACTGCCATTTCTTGCAAAATACACTCAACGTCTATAAAGAATTAAGTTTTTAATTTTCAGTAATCTATTTTCTTCCAAGAAAATATTTATTGAAGATGAATTTTTAGTACAGAATTTGATTTTTTAAATCTTTTTTCTTTTCCCACCTTCTCATTAGAATATTTGATTTTTTGACAATAGTCATATGAATGAACATCCCTCATTTTTACCAGATAAACTACCTGAAACAGGCAAAAATAAACACTAACTTAAATATCCTTACTAAAGAAAATTCCAAAGAAAAGCAAACATTAATGCAGGAAGTTATTGTAAAAAATAAAAATTTGTAACAATTACAAATTAATAGAACTACAAAATCTATTACAGTGTGCAAAGGTTCAAAGAAATGCTTCAATTCAATACTTCAATTTATCGACAAAGCAGATCAAAGTGGACACCTGTTTCAAAACAGGAACTGAATCACATGCCTCCAAAGTGCTTCACATTTCAAAATGCCTTGCAGATTTGACAACTTTTCTGCTACTTCTGAGGTCCCATGCCTCAACCTGACTTTCATATATGGAGGACAGTAGAGGAAGGCTGAATTCTATGATGAGCTCTGTGACTTAGACACTGGCATGAATGTGTTTTATTACTTCATTCAACTTTTTGCTTGCCTATCAGAACTGTTTTGGGTAGCAAAGCAGCACTGCTTTAGGTACCATTCATGTTCTCAGCTCTCAAATCTGGCCAGCCTCAAGCCTTAACTTTGATCTCTCTTATGCTAATTAAATGTTACAGGTGGTCCTGCCAATGTTACTGTGAGCTGAACTTGATGTTCAGCACTCCGAATATGGTATTTACTATTATTGTTATATAGCATACTCAGCAAATGATGGTAGTTTAGGGCCAATTCAAGCTTCATCCTAAAGCTTAATAATTATCCAAATACTGCCATATATGTGATTTCAAGCAAAAATGTTTTTGTAAACTAAATGTTGTGAGTTCAAGTAATTCTAGTTTTGGCAGCTGTTTTGACAATTCCATTCCAATAGAAAAGTATCTGTAGCTCAGGGTTGAACTGTGGAATTCTTGGTGCTTGGTTATTTGCTTGTAGACATTTCATTACCCAACTAGATAACATCATCAGCACGAGTGAGAGTGGGTTTGCTGTCTATTTATTTGTGTCAAAATGTCACTATTTTTAATGTTCAGGACAAGATTTCAGCATTTCTTCAGAAATATGAACTGGAGTAAATGGCTTAGCTGACAGTAATTTGACTCTTACCCTAGTCTCATTAATTGTCCCCTTTCTTTGGTGGAAAAAATCAATATGGGTTAATACAGATATTCAAAACATACATCCAAATGCTACAGCAGAAAACAGGAAAGTTGGATGCAATCAAGGGATGCATTAGGAATTCATTTGCAGCTATTAAGGTGAAGCCTTCAGCTTCTGAATTTGTGCATCTAATGTGCTTCTTGACTTAACTTGGATACGGCACAGAAAGTAGTCTTCAATAAGAAATCACTTCCAATTTTCTGATTTAGTGTGCAATTTGAATATCCAGAACAGCTATAAAACCTGTTGCCATTCCCAATGACTTACAAGGACAAATTTGGGTTTTCAAATCTAATGGAAAGAAAAAGTAATAAAAAGAATCAACTGGCTGTAGAATCTATAGCTCAAATTGTCCACCATCAAGCCAGATATCAATTCCTGGTATAAGAACAAAAATAGCATCACCTCTCTCATGAGAATATAGATATGAATCATACATTTCTATTCATCTTGTTCTCCTTCTTCCTGGTCTATGTTCTTGATTAGCAAGTTAGCACTAAGATTATAACGTGGCATAGGATACATAAAATAATTCAAGTAGTGAATACTTAATTTTGGATTAATTAAAAAAAATATGAGATGTGAAGGCATACACATATGGAACTATATTACATCCACCAAAAAACAAACAACCAAACCAAACCAAACCAAACCCAAAACCCAAAACAAACAACAAAACAAAACAAAACACCCTTAACTCCCATGCTCTTAAAGACAAAAACATAGGGAAGGGTGTTGGTTTAACTGGATGATCTTCATATTTGCTGAATGTTTAGTGGTCTATAATTGCAGAAAGTTAGAGAAATATGCTCTAATGTGTATAGGCACAACTGCCTGGCTCCATGGAGGAAAGGAGCAGAAGAGGAGAAGAGTTTTGGAAAGGAGCAAAGCTTTGAGCAGTGGGTTGCAAACTGGAGCTAGCCTGGAAAATAACGGTGTGTGTGCGTGTGTGTGTGTGTGTGTGGCGGTATCTCTCCCAATGTAGGGATTGCTGTAATTCTTATAGGCCACCCTGCTGGAGTGAGATGAGCAACTCAATTTTCATAACACCCTTTACTGGGTAGAATATACTGGGTAGAAAAATAGTATATTTAAAAATAATCACTCTAGGTAATTGTTGGAATGTTCAGTACACAAAAATGGTTAGCAAATATGACAAATAACAGGTAGATACTCACAAAATTGGTTAGATATAAATAATCATAAAAAAATGTATAAACTGGAAATAATGTTTCCTCAACCTTTCTAGTCCTTCAGGATATTCTATCTATCCAAGCTTACCTTTACTTTGTTTTCCCCTGAGAGGACTGAATTACTTCCAGATATAGTAGACTGTAGTCACCTAGTGTTTTTACTTTCCAAGAACACCTGTGGGGCAATAAAGGTCTAAAGTTTCCAGGCCTGAGGTTAATGTATATATTGATGTATTTGTGGGGGTCCTGTCATATTTGTATAGTTTATCATTTTAGTCCGTGCTGTCAGTTTATGTGTATTTAATTGTTTTCTGGATTTTGTAAGCTGCCTAGACTCTAACAGAGTGGGCAGCTATAACAAATTTAATAAATTAAATAAATTAATCTTGGAAACGAAGATGATTTCTTCATAACATGCCAGTTTTCCATTTAGTTTTGTTTAAAATTTAAGAAGTCTGCAGGGGACTGGCATGCTGTTAAGTAAAGTGCATTGGTGCCTATGTCTAGTACATTGGGAATGCTAGACTTACACTTACCTTAACTGATTGGTAGTGAATCATACTTTAAGAACTTTAAACTGTATTAAAGATAGAATGTGGTTACGGAAACAAATTATTTGGTGGAGAAATGAAGGATACTATATATACTAATGTATAAGCCCATCTGGGGATAAACTGACCCTCACATTTTTAATCAAAATACCGTGAAAAGTATGCAACCCATGGAAAAGGCAATCCTCAAAATTTCTGTAAGTTTTAATTTTCGCAATTGGCTTATCTGTGAGTAATCCACAGATTATCCATTTTTCATGGTATTTTGGTTAAAAGTCTGAGGGTCATCTTGTACGTGGATGGGCTTATAGATGAGTACATATGGAATATACAGGTACTTTAAAAAAAGTATTACCGTATATATACTCGCAGATAAGGTCATCCGCAGTTAAACCGAACCCAATTTTTGGGGTGTATTTTGACACTTAAAATTCTTGGCTTAGTCGCGAGTATATACAGTAAGTGTCCATCATAAGTTTTATTATGGGCAGCGACTTTTATGGTAGAGAGAGGCAGATTTTCAAACAAAAGGAAGGTGAATTACATGTCTCTTATCCATTGTCCGTTCTGGGCCACTTTCTAATCTTGGTGGCACTGATGGCTCAGCTGTAATCCCTTTTGGTCTGAAGGTATGATTGGTAAATGTCAGGATGGTTAATAGAAATGTTTTAATCATCTCTGAACCAGTATCAGGAAAAGACAGACTAGCTTGACCTATATAATGGCAATTCAGTTAGATGAGAAGAGTGGAGTTTTCTTCAATATATTTGGTTGAGAACTTGAAGCTGACAGAGGTTTTGTAAATATATCATACAACCCACTGCTGAACTTCAGGAAATTTTAATTGCATTATTAAAGCTGTCTAGCTCAGGATTCTATGGCCTCTGTTACAACCATGGACATATCAATCTGAGTTCAGCAGAAGCAGGATTTATTCACTAGGCTTCATTTTTGCACCTGTTCAGAAAACAGTCTCCACTAAAGAAGCCAATGATTTCTTTATCATGGACAATCATTATTTATAATTAATAAACTCCACATTGATGGAGAGCCAAATATAACTGTCTACACTTGAAGATCCATGGATATTTCCTAAGATCTCTGATTAACCTTCTTATAGACCACAATCTTCTCAAGGCATTAGATTTTTATCTATTGATATAAAGACTTTGTTTGCAAAATATGCTAGGACAAAATATGTTTAAATAATCTGTGTCTCACCGTGTAGTTAATTTTTGGTTCAGTATTGTATGAACCCAGACAACTGGGATCATTCATTAGCCCATGGTTCAGTTACCTAGCGATCAGCACATTATATAAACACAGCTGATAGATCTGAAATGTCCTCAATTCAAAGACATATGGGCTCCTCTGGTATTCCTGAGAACTGCAGACAATTAAATGATGTGTTTGACAGCTAGAGTGAAGGTGAAGGACATGTTGACGAACATGTCTAAATAACAACAAATATTACTTTTTGCCATTGTTGCACATGCCCAAATATTTGTGGTAGATATTTATAGTGATATTTGTGTAATAAAGTATGTAATTGTGTAATATAGTGGATATTTGTGTAATAAAGAACCTTTTGTGTATGGGCCCCAGGTATCCTGCTGCTCAAACCCACTGAAGGATTGCTGTTACTAATTTACAATACATTTATAATTATAAAGTTTTAACCATCAGAGATAGATGCAGACATGACACCATTTGGTCCTATTTTTTGGCTTATCCAAACTGAGGATATTAACTTTGGAAGATTAAGGCATACCATTGTTCTCTAGACCCTTGCCTTTTAAAAATTTTGGAATCTTGAGGCTTGGGCTTATTATGTGAAATTCAGGTAATGTAAATACTTCGTTGAGGAAAGATATAGATATCACCATACTGATAAAGACAAAAATAAGACTCTTGTGGAAGGAAAAAAATTAATTTTGGCTTAGCCATAGGATATAAATATCTGGTTACCACTGGGAGATAACTTCATACCAAGCACAAGATAAAATGTATATATTTTAAAGATTTATATGAAGCCCATTTCTACTTGTGGCTTTAGGTGCTTTACAGATATCCATATGGAATAAAAATTTGTAAAACCCAATATTGTAAAAGGAATAACAGGATTTCACTTTTCATCTACTAATATGCAACCATTCATTAATTCATGATTACTGGGTTTTCTGTCAAATATTATGAGTCCACTGATAGATTATCAGTGGAAATCTCAAGCAAGGAGAGCTGACACAGAAGTGTAAAGATATGGTGTAAAAATATATATTCAGCATAACAGCAGTGCCCTCAAATGTAAAACAGGTTGCAGGACTTAGACATAATATCTTAGCCTATATATAGGGTAATTATATTTTTTTCAACTAAAGCACCTTTTACATTTTATTGTGACTGATAATAGCTGCTAAGGAAAAAAATGAAATTTAAAACAAATTTGCTTCTATATTTCAAATGAGAAACAGTCTCTAGGCAAGGATTAACAAAGAAGAGACTGGGACAGAAAGAATCCTAATGCTTCTTAAACTATTGTTCAGAATGATAAAGTAACAGAAAAAAACAAAGATGAAGATACTACCATTTGATATAGCATGGGTCAGTGCTGCTTTCATATTCCTTCATGAGAAACAGCAACATCAAATGCTTAAAAAGGTCCATGAAGTTAGTACCTGCAGAACTGTAGTTTCTCTGTTCAAGTATGAATAGTGTCTTGATCTAAAATAATACATTCTATATATCTTCAAGATCAAATAACTATATACTCAGTTATTCCCAGAGAGAATATGAATGTCTTTTCAATAACTGTGTTTATTGGAAGAGCAGATCAAATAAGGTGAGGTTAAGAGTTTTGAAACTTGAATGAATTATTTAAACATACCAGAAACATAGCTCCACATGATGTATGTAACAAAGTAACAAGTTTTTTTTACAGGTTAACTTGAGCTCTCAGGCCAGAAAGATTATTAATGTTAAACTTGCTTAGATCCCTTTAATAAATACTGTATTTACTACGTAACTATAAAATAAATCCCAACATTCTTAAACATTTTATAAATAAAGAACAGCTATACCTGTACTTACATACACAGAACAGCCACATAATTAATAACTATAATAATATGTTACCTGATTCAGTGTATTATCAGTCTTTAATTCTTTATGATTTGAATACTGAATATATATGGGTTGATTGCGAAGATGAGGTGTCACAGCAGAATAGTAATTTACCATAGTGATAGCAGCTTCTTCTGTTGCCAGTTCTAAAAAAGCCTAGAAAAATATTAAAGATATTTTTAAAAAAAAGAAGTTATCCCCACATCCATCAGTCCATCCATCCATTTATTCACCTACCTACCTAGTTTCTGAATCATATTCTGGTAAAGTATGAAAACTGTTTACCAAAGTCATTTAGGATTTAGAGTGTACAATTTATAAAGAACCACACATTTCAAATTTGCATACATAAACACTGAGCCAATATATGCCCCATCCCCAGCTTCTATAAAATGCTGTATGTTCTCCCTTTATGCTAGTCTATGACTGTAATAAGGATTTGATTTGATTTATGCTCTCCCTTAAGATCAGTAATCATTAGATCATTACATCAGTAATCATAAAATCACAGCTGTGATTTTAGTCCAAGGACGTTCACTTGAAGCAAACTTAAGCTTGAGAACATTAATTAGATTGCTGACATCATTCAGGACAACAATAAAAGTCTAAGGAACCAAAAAGATTGGAGAATGGAATCTAAACAGGCACAAACCTCTGAAAACATGATTAGAAAAATAGGAAGATGAGACATTAGTTTAGCATAAGCCTGGAAAGATAGAAGCCAGCATCACGTTGATCTAGCTTCTTTCTCAAGAACATCCTCAAGAATCTTGTTTTACAGATACAGCAAGTCTCCTATACTTACATATATAATTTACATTAAATTCAACCAACCAACTCTGATATTCTGTATTCTGTATATGCACACAAGTCTGTTAAGATGAGACTTCACCTTTATTTTCTAAGATAACTTGTTCAAATAAATTAATCAAATTTATCTGTACCATCTAAAGATTCTGAGAAATTATTTCCCATCATGCCTACCATGTATTATATAATAGTAAAGTGCTAAGCCTATGAATTTCCATACTGACAAGCCTTATAGAATTTTTATATTCTAGAATTTTTAATTTTAAATAGATTTCATAAGTATAATTTCACCATAGCAACAAGTCCTTTAAAAGTTCTCACGTTAAGTATTTCCCACTCTGAGCCATAAGATATGTATTATTATTTATCTATGAAATAGGTTAACTTTATTATATGAAATTTGGTGTGTTAAAGATTTTCAGATGCAAAGAATGAGTATTAGAAACTGAGAAAAATGTCAAACTTCTCAGAAAGTACTTTATCATCAAAAAGAAAAAAATATTATTTTATAAAGCTCATATGAAAAATAAGAGCCCTTCAGCTGATCTTAAAAACCTAATTAATCTTAAAATGTTGCTTCACACCATTTGAGAAAAACTTAGTTCTGACTACTGAGAATACTACAACCTCTATTTCTGTTATACAGGCACAAAAAGCTAGAAAACAACTGCAGTTTGGGGCATCTTCCATTTTTGGATAGTTTTCCATAAAACATGGGAAATTTGGCCCTAAAGAGAGAAAGCTACAACAACCAACAAAATACTGGCTTCTCCCTTTCCAGAATGTTTATGATTCTCCATCTAGATTTCCGAATCTTTGGAATTTTCAGCAAGCATGGGCAAATTGTTCTCACTTGGTAGGTATAACATTAGCTAGTAGGGATGTTAAAACATTCCAAGCTTGTAAAGTTTTGAGTCCGAAACACTGGTTTTAAGTGTTCTGAGCTCAGAATAAAACTGTGCCTTCAGAATTTCTTCCTTCAAATAAGCTCATTTCAAGTATTCATATTCTGAAATCCTGAGGGTATCACCTCATTTATAAATTGTGGTTGGCTTGTATTTACTTTTTTTTTCCAGCATAACCAGCAAAATAGCAAAAGTAGTTCCATCTTCATTACTGTTGGTCAAGACTAGGAGCCAGGAGAAAGGGAAAAGAGGAAGGAGGAAATGACATCATTTAAACCAACGTTGAGGCAGATGACGATACCACTGACTCAAATGTGTCATACAAGATGGGGATAAATTTACTAGGGTTTTCTTTCCTCTTCAAAATTCTTGACTATTGGAAAGTTCGAGTTTATGGTTGCTTTGTGGGCCTGCAATTGCATTCTGTGTTGTACTTTCTTTCAGAGACAAGCAGTCATTACACAAATGGGAAGGTCTGTTCCACACATTGTTTATTAAAAAGTTTTGCTAATACTGTGTTGCTTTGGTTTATTTGTTGAGCCATGTTGTGCACTATGTGCATATTCTTGCTGATGCTTAGTCTTCAGGCAGCATGCTAACTTCAAAGAGTAGGTTTCTTTTGCTTTGTGTGTTGAGTATTGCTTGCAGACTGTCAAATACAAAGGTATGCACTGAGCTTATGCATCTGAAAGAGAGGGAAGCTTCAAGTAAGAGAACTCTGTACTTTTGTTGCACTTGTCATTGTTGTTCATAGATTGAAGTGAATCATGCTATTTTTTTTCTGGGCTTCATCAGCTGTTTGTATAGGCAGGCTGTGGGAAATAACAATGTTTAAGCTTTTGTTTCCATTATTGCCTGTAGGATTTTTTTTTTAATCACTCTCATGACAAACTTTTCTGCTGGTTGGGTGAAAGGCAGAAGTCAGCACATATATCATCTCATACCATCTAATTTTGTGGTTGAAAAATGAGGGAGTGAGCGCTTTTTTTCAAGTTCCCATTATTTTCTATTTTTATAGAAAATAGTTTGCTCTATCTGGAGCATTCAGAGTATTGGTGGGATGTAGGCAACTCAGAAGATTTGTCCAGAGCTCAAAACAATTTTCTATTTCATGCACACCGTTATTATTAGCTGGTTATTTCATGATGGCTGAGTTTCACTGGGCTCATGGTAGCTTTGGCACAAGCTGCTAAGTCAATCTAGAATTGATTCTGCCTGGACTATAGTGTACTACTTTGCCCCCATTTTAAAACATTCATGGAAGGAGACACAGAGTCCTCTACCAAAAGCTAGATTATTGCGTGAGCATGTCTAGGAACATCATACCACAATGTAGTATGTTGTTTCCTGTACTATCCAGAGTTAACTGATGCTATAATTACAGTTAAAGACCAACAGTGGACTTTTATTCTCAGTTGCAATATACAGTCAGACATTTAGCCTGAGATCTATGTTACCAGAACACCACTTTTAAGATCTTTTTTTCCCCTCAATTCTTCAGAAAGCAAATGCAGAAAAACCTTTGCTGTCACAAAGTATTTGATTTTGTACCTAACAACCTGAAATATTTTTCCATGTCTGAGTAGGTAGATTAAAAAAAAACTTCCTATAATCGATGTGTTATGATAAAATCCATTCCTGGCAAGTGG